ATCATGGCTTAAGTAAGCGGAGAACTGTCATCACAAAAATCACGTGCTCTTTGTGTGCAAATTCTTACGACGAAGTGGACGTGAACTCAGAACTTGGCGGAAACCGCAGCGTAATAACAAATAGTTTGTGGTTCTGTGATGCGTGTTCAGATAGCCCAATAGCCAAGATTATCCGAACTCTCAACGCGAGGTGTGAAATGTTGGCTGTTGCGTCATCCGAACAGAAAGAATTGGTCAAGGCTTTGGGAGGGAAAATCGCTGAACTCGAGTTGCAGCTTAGTGTATTAAGTAGCCCTAACCCCAGACCTACCAAAAGACCAAAGTTATCCATTAAAAATGTTACACGTTCCGGCGAAAAACAAGCACCATTAGCGATAAACAACTGTGATGCCAAGCCAGTTGAAAATTCTATAAAATCTTCTGTTGTACCGCAAGGCGTAAAGAGTTATGCACAAATTGCACGATCATCGCTATTAGCTGGGCAGCACATTACAAACTGTGTGAATAACGTCGTTGCACAGGAGAATTCTTGCTGCAGCCTTGACTTGTCTTCCCCACAAGACAAGACCAACACTCCCACACGACAAACCTCCACCCAAAAAGAACTGCAACAAACTAAATTACTACGCAACCAACAAGCGATGACAGTCATATGTTCAAACGTACCAGAACCCACCAGCGAGTCGTTAAAAGGTCGACAAGCCGAAGAGCAAAATCGCTGGACTGAGATAAGCTGCGCACTAGGACTAAACGTTCTCCCAACTAGTCTTACACGTCTGTCACGAAACCCATCGTCTCCTCACGTAGGGGAACCTCGGTTACTGCGAGTAACATTTGGCAACACAAAGGACTTGGAGGATGTTCTCTTAGCAAGCCACAGTCTACCGAACTCTTCTCTCAGTGCCCGCATTTTTCCAGACATGCCATGGAAGGAAAGACAAAAGCGAAAATCCGACCCAACCGCGTCTCGTCAAAATGTAATGAAGAAAGTGGTGTTGGTTCATGGTGTGCCCGAACTGAAACATGGCGACACCAGTGAAAGACAAAAACACGATATTGATGAGTGGCGCTACATCACAGAACTCTATGGCATGCAGAATGTTGTGGCATTCGACGTCAGCCGCTTAGCTTCCTCCCCAAACTATCAAGGGAGCGGGCCGAAAATTTTGAAAGTTACCTTGGCTACGCCGGAGATGGCATCAATGGCAATTAACGTGTGGTACCACAGCAGAAGGCTAGGACCACCAGAAGTACGACTGAGACCATTCCTGCAAGCAGTACAGACCACTGGTACAGTTGAGTCAGACCTGGCTTTTCCGACCATAGACCAGCCAAGCGTGCAAACACTCGTGTCAAAAAACGTGGGCAGACCGGCACTGTTTGTGCCGGTCAAACACAGCGAACCCACCTCCTAATGCGGCAACAAATGCAATGCTGCTACACAAACGCCCAAGGGCTTTACTCCAAGTTGCCGGAATTGCGCCATCGGCATGAAGCAGCAACTTGGGACATCATAGCATTAACTGAAACCTGGCTCTCAAACGAGATTTTGGATCCAGAAATTGAACTTAGTGAAATGTCAGTCATTCGAAATGATCGTCCATCTCGCGGTGGTGGCGTTGCTATCTACTACCGAGATCACCTGAAATGTGAAGCTCTCACTGAGCATTCCCTTATTATCCCCGACGCCTTATTTTGCCGGCTGCAGCTATCCGGTCCCGATGGTTGTCCTCAGAAGAAGACACATGATGCTTGCCTCATAGCAGTTGTCTACAGGCCGCCGAACTCCTCCGCCGACAGCGATGATATTCTGTTAAATGCTCTCCAATATGCTATGTCGAAAAAGTACTCACACTACCTAATAATGGGTGACTTCAATGTACCGTCAATAGCATCTGTGTTCCCAAGTGGGCCATGCTTCAAATCAAAACTCCTTGAGTTCTTGACTATGGCAGTTTTGTATAACCATGTGGATCAACCAACCAGACACCGCGGTTCAAACAAGCCTTCAATACTTGATTTAATCCTGACTAATGAGGAGTTAATGGTTGAGTCGGTTTCATACAACCCCCGCTAGGTTGTAGCGATCATTCAGTTCTAACGTTTGATTATGTGTGTTATGCCAGTATGGTTGACAAAGAACCAGAAACCCGACGATTCATCACCAACTATTCCAAGCTTCACACTATAGCGACAACCGTTGACTGGGACCTCCAGATGCACACTTCGGCGAATGATGCCTGGCAAGTGTTGAAAGGCAAGATAAACTGGGTCCTACAATCAGCTTCAAAAGACGTACCATTACGAGTTTCGCGACGGAGCAACAACTGGATCCGGAGTAGAACACGTAAGTGGTTGAATAGGCGAGACGAGGCTTGGAGGGGTCATTTGCTAGGTCCAAGTGATATCACGTGGAATCATTACAAAACAGTCAGAAACTACTGCACTTCACTCCTTAAAGCTGACAAGTACGAATGGCAGGAAACTATGGTACGCAAATTTACTAGCAATCACAAACTGCTCTACCGGTATGTGAATGACAAAAGGAAGGTTAAGACGGGAATACCACCACTAGAGACGGTCAATGGCCTAACGGTTACTGAAGAGGAGACCGCGGACGCATTGCTCATGCAGTTTGTCTCAGTGACTAGACACACCATGGAACCATCGCCTTGCTACATCCCAGCAAATGTCGTCGGCTTATCCACGGTCAACTTTAGCCCTACATCTGTGGCAAAGAAATTACAGTCGCTCAGGGAAAATAGTGCGCCGGGAATTGACAAGATCTGTCCGAAAGTACTTAAAACCCTTGCACCCACCATGGCAGTCCACCTTGCAACCTTTTTCCAGTTTCTATTTGATTCTCATACACTTCCGTCTGAGTGGAAACGTGGACTTATCACTCCGATATACAAGGGAGGTAAGCGGTCAGACCCTGCCAACTACCGACCTATTACTCTCCTTCCTGTTCTATCAAAAGTGATGGAGTCTATAATCGCTGATGAAATGGTGAGATATTTTGAAAGTCTACAAATCATCTCCAACCTCCAACATGGATTCAGACGCGGACGATCTTGCCTCACCAATCTACTACTTGCTCGGGACTCATGGACCAGGGCTGCTGACGAGGGAGTTCCCGTAGATGTGATTTACTTAGACTTTTCTAAGGCATTCGACAGAGTCAATCACCCAGCACTTCTCCGAAAGCTTGCGGCCTATGGTATCCACGGATCCTTGCTCACATGGTTGGAAAGTTACTTATACGACAGAAGAATCGAGGTAAGGATCGCCAACACCCACTCCGATAGCCTATGCGTCACTAGCGGCGTACCGCAAGGATCAGTTCTCGGCCCGTTACTCTTTTTAGTCTATATCAACGACCTCCCTGCCAACATTCAATCACCTATGCAAATATTCGCCGACGATGCTAAGATGTGGCGAGCTATTCAGTCAACATCTGACCCTGTCTATCTGCAGGATGACCTGAACCGGATTCACGAATGGGCAGTAAACAACCAACTACCCCTGAACCCCGAAAAGTGTCACCTGTTGTCGCTGCGCAGTAACTGCAGCAACACATATCACCTGGGGCAGCGCGTTATAAAACAGGTGAGCAACGAAAGAGACTTAGGGGTCATCGTGCAAGAAGGTCTGGGTAATTCGCTCCAATGTTCAAAGGCAGCTAACATAGCGAACTTAAACTTGAGGCTTTTGAGGCGAGCGCTCGGTACCTTCGAGCGGCAACTCGTGCCATTATTGATTAACGCCTACATTCGTCCCCACCTCGAGTATGCGGTGCAGGCATGGCGTCCGTGGTTAAAACGGGACATTCGTCTCCTGGAGCAACCACAAAGAAGAGCCACTAAGGCAACACGTGGTCTATCGGGCCTTAGTTATGAACTGCGCCTTCGTTCGATCGGTCTGTACTCCTTAGAATACCGACGACTTCGCGGTGATCTGATCCTCACTTACCGGATACTAAGAGAAGAGGACCATCCATGTAAGTCGCTGTTAACATTATCTGCCGACAAACGATGCCGAGGCCATGCACTAAAACTTGTGACTCAATATTCCCGTTTAGATTGTAGAAAGTTTTTTTACTCTCTTAGTGTCTGTCCGCACTGGAACGCACTGCCATCGCATGTGGTGAACGCACCAAACATCGAGACATTCGAAAGACTATTGGACTTGCACTTACATGATACACATTATATAACGGTATGACAAACTGCAGTGTCTAACTTACTGATATTTTTGTGTCACACCTGAAACTTTTGTTTTCTTCCATTTGCCATCCTGTGGGTCTTGTAAAGTTATTGCTTTTTATCCCACCATACACTATTGAACTATTGAATTGAACTATTGAACATACGTTCACGTCGCGTTGGCAATTCCCAGGAGACATTCCGCATAGCAAATATATTCGAAAAGTAGTATTGCATCATTGCTGCGACACAGTGGGACGTCGATTTTTACCCGCTTGACCATTAGTTCTTCATTGCTGAGTATCTGATACAGTATCGAAGGATAATCTTTCTCTCAGAATCGACCATATGTGTCGACGTGGCCATATAGCGGGTAGCTGGAGACGAATAATTGTAGATCGGCCTTAAACTGTCCTCCAAGAGCTGGTTGGGATTGCAGAATGTGGACGTTGAAATCGCCAGTAATGAGAATGTGACTGCAAGTTGTGTTTATCACCCTCCTTTTTGTGAATGCCAGATGGCAGTTCATCTCTGGCGTGGAGGGAGGATGATGGAAAATGACCTCCCCTAAGCACGTGTCGCCGCTTTTATAATGCAGACGGCGCAAAAGGAAATCTTATACCGCGCTGACCGGATACTCTATGCCCTTCTATTGGAGGTCATTGTGAAATTACAGAGCAAACCCAGCAAATTTGCTATGTCGGTCGTGCCGAACAATGAATATGCCTGGTAGTGAGATCTCCATGTCACTTGGGTCAGGGCGTAACAATCTTTGTAGCAGTGAGATCGCAGGCTTTGGATTTTTGACGCAGCCGCATTTCGAAAATTTTACTTAATAAGCCTTGAGCATTAATGTACATACAGGAAAGCTTTTCGGATATCAAAAGCTGTTGATTAGGAGCACATAAATGATATGGATCTGTGCCTATCGATGACAGACTGGCACTTAATGTTTTTTTTGGTGAATTGCCAAATCTCGACAGGAATGAACTCAGTTTTTGGTCTTACTTTATAATGCGGTACGTAGTCCATTGGCAGCCTTCTCGATAGCTACGGGTCTTAGCGCACAGGTTGCTGTATCGCAGGTGTGGTTATATTGAGTCGCGGTGGTGTCGTTTCCAAGAGAACAGCGAGTGGCTGCGACTCTCTAACTACTGTCTTCTGTTGATGATAACTGCGCCTGTATCCTTGAACGGTTCCGTACGGTGTCCTTCTGGGACGGAGGCCTTGAGTCACTTCAAGTTGTGAATCGATAGGCAAAGTCTCGCTTCGCTTGTTGGATAAAGCATACGACCTAGGGCGTGCAGCTGTCTTTGCAGTGATTACAGGTGGACGAGAAGGGTAAATCAAACAACAAGGGAAAATGTTCGACCCAGCGATCCAAGCGTCTCTGTGGATGGGGAATTGGCAAACCATCTGCTTCGCAACTAGTCTCACTGACACAAGGATTTCTATGGCTAGTGGACTGAATGAACTTGAATAGCTATTCATTATGTCCAGAAACCATCGGGACAAAACTGGACATTAACGTAGTGCGATGGATTTTGTGCTTTAGTGATTCATTGGTCCATAATGATGGTGCTTTATGCACCTTCAGACTCACTCATATTAGATTGGTCAATGTTTAGAGACCAGAAAACCTCGGTCTCATGGCTCCCTAAGTAGAGGGTTGGAATGAGGATGGCTCCTTAAATTATAAAGCGGACAGGATGTAAAAAGCGGCGAAAATCCCTTGCATTGCCGTCAGGTATTTGAACCAAAAGCTTTGGTTAAGAAACCTAATCTATCTTCATTCTAGGCCTGGGAAACCCATTAATACAGTTGATCATGTTTCCGCCGAGCTGGGAAATTTATTTGCAAACGTTTCACCGCCATGCGAGGCGGCATCATCAGTGCGTTGAGATGTGGAGTGTAATCTCGCTGATTGATTTGTCGATCCGTGATCGGCGTGCAGGTGCCTTCGAAGGTGACAGCTTCGATCTGTGTCCCGTGACCTCTACCCATTTCCCCGTGGCGGAATCGTCGCTCGTTTTGTTCCTATTCAAGCGGCGTCTCGTAATTTTTCTAAGTTCTCTCTGTCGGAGTGGTTGATAAACTGGGTCAATCTAGATATACATGTTGATCGCGTCTTTTGTTGAGAAAAACGCTTCCAGGAACTCCCTTTCTCTTCTTGCTTCACCTCGTGCCAGGACTTCGGTTTTGGTCCAATCAAAGCTGCGTTCTATTTCATGCACCTATGATGAGAATAGCGATGATGCATAGTGCCACTTGCATGCTCTGTTGTGCTCTTGTAATCGTGTTGATAATTTTCTACCTGTCTGGCCAACATAGTCGTTTTTTGCAATTTCTACAACTTAGTCTATATACAACATTACTTTGCTCTTAAGCTTCCAGTTTCTCTTTCGGTTTCGACAGAGTTTTCCTTAATGTGGCAGTTGGTTTGTGTGCTACGAAGAGGTAATGTTGTTTGAA